CTCACATCCTTGGCGCGGCAGATGGCCAGCCTCAGAGTTTTCCGAGCTTCTCGGTACTCCTCATGAAGCCGGTCCACCTCCTCACCGACCCCGCGGTGACGTCGCCGACTACGGGTGAGGGACCTCCGGGCACGTACACAGGCCGCACGGAGGTCCGCCAACTCCTGGGACCACCAGTAGACCTCCTTCCTTGGAGGCCGACAACCACGAACGCGGGGCATGGCCGCATCGCAAATCTGCGTAATCGCATTGCAGAAGCGACCAGCCCCCATGTCGACCTCCTCGGTCGGGGCCTGCGGAGACAGCCAAGAGTAAATAATGGCCGCCTCCTCTAGTAGGTCCCTGTCGAGCTTGGCGATAGCCCACCGCGGGAAGCGGGAAGGGCGCCGCGCCGCGTGACCCCTACTGGGGTCCTGGGACCGGGAGAGCTCGAATCGGATGTACAAATGATCCGAGAGCGTCTCGACCTCTTCCAGGACACACCAGTTCCTTACTCGTGCGGCGACTGCAGGGGTAGCGAACGAAAGGTCCACTATCGACCCCCCCTGCTGTCGCACGCACGTGTTGGTGGAGCCCCTGTTCAGCAAACAGAGGCCCACCGACGCCGCCCACTCCTCGACGGCTTCGCCCCTGGCGTCCGTCGCAGGGGAACCCCACGCAATGGACTTTGCGTTGAAGTCCCCCAGCACGAGGACGTGCCCAGACACTAGTCGCCGCATCGAGGCCTCCAAGTTGTTAAGGAAGACCTCGAAGTCGTTCAAGCTCCGGTTGGGGGAGAAATATACACCATAAATGGTGATTCCCCCCCAATCGGCGGCAACATATCCAGTACCCTTGTCTCTTAGCGACAAGGGCGGGGAATGTGCCGCCGTGGAGCCGACGACTGCCACGGAGCCGTCCCGGTCACCCAACCAGTTTGGACGGGGAGGGACGAAATAGGGCTCCGCGACTACGGCAACACCTATCGACCACTGTGCCATGGTTTGCAGGAAGAGATCCTGCGCCGCAGCACAGTGGTTCAGATTCGTCTGGACCAGGAGGTTGGAGACTTGATCCATTACTGGATCGTCTCTACAACCTCCTCCATGGGCGTCGGCGTCGACGCAATATTGACGTCGGGGGTAGCCTGGGTCGGCAGGCTAGACCCCGGCGTTTGCCGAGAAGCGCGGGGAGGCTTGCAGCCCCCCTGCCCCATCTGGTGATTGGCGGGCTTTTTAGCCGCCGCACACACGGGGCAGTGAGGGGCGGCAGAGCACTCTGCCGCCTTGTGCCCGGGTTGACCGCAGCGGAAGCATAAACCGCTGCAGTCAAAGCGACTCTCGCACTTGGTGCGAGTGTGTCCCGCGGCTAGGCACTTGAAGCACCTCATCGGCCTCGCGGCCAGAACCGTGATTCTGGCATTCACGAAGCCGACGAGCATGCTTCCGGCGTCGCCCAACGCTTTGGCCGCCGCCACGGGACAACTCACCCACACCGCACCGAGGCCTCCCGGACCCGGACGGACGGTGCCGACTCTGATGGTGTCCGCGGTGCATCCAGTCTTCTCCATGACTGCATCGCGGACATCCTCTGAAGTGATGGAGTCGTCCAGGCCCGAGATGCGCAGTTCTGCGCATTTGGTGGGCCTGGCGATCTTCACACCGTCCGTGCTGGCGAAAATCCCCCGCAGCTTCTCGGCGAATTTATCGGCCGTCGCCGCGCCTTCAGCCCCAGGGAACTCGAAGACCCGAGCTCCCGTCTGGGCGCGGCGCAGCCTCATCCCCGCCGTCCCGAATTCAGTGGCGAGACCAGGCCGGGCCCCCTTGAAGAGGGCCGCATACGTGAGCCCGCCACTGGCCGCCTCCGGCGACAAGGTAACCACTACAGCCGCGGTTTTGGGCGGCTGCAGCTTCCGCGGCCTCTTTTTTGAGGCCGTTGCCACCGGTGGCGAAGGCTGGGCTTGGGCTGCTTTCTGAGCAGCCCTCCTAGCCCGCCTTCGGGACTTCTTTGAGCCCCTCGCCTCCTGCCAACCCTCGTTGGAGGGGGCAGGTGCGGAGGGGCCCGGCAGGGATGTCGGAGCGGGGAGCGGAGGGAAAGCCACTCCGCTCCTCTTCGCCGCTTTAGTCTGGGCCGGCGCCTTGGCCGGTGCCTGGGCCGGCGCCTTGGCCGGTGCCTGGGCCGGCGCCTTGGCCGGTGCCTGGGCCGGCGCCTTGGCTGGCGCCCGGGCCGGTGCCTTGGCCCCCTTCCTCGGCCCCTGGGGAGCCAGTGGAGTCGGGGCCGACGCCGCCGCCGCGTAGGACACGCGGCCTCCCACTACGGGGAGCGCAGTCGGAGCCGCGGCCCCAGGCCGCTGCGACGACGCGAGCGGGGGGCGCACAACCGGCGCAGGGGGCAGTCTCGCCTCCAGGCCGGCCAGACGACCGTCCAGCATACGCCCAACTGCGTCAAGAATTTGACGCAGTTGGGCGTCAGGTACCCCTTCGTTGGTGGTAGGGGCAGGCTGGGACGTGGACGGGGCCTCCCGCTCGGGGAGGTTCGTCTGGAAGCGGGCGAACTGAGCGCTCAGCTCGTTCACCCGCTCCGTCAGCCTCTCGTTGGCGGCCTGCAGGCGAGACATCTCGCCTGTCAGGTCCTCCACGACTTCCGACACAGCGGAGGAGGAGTCCTTAAGGGCCCTCACAAAGGAGCCCTTAAGGTTCACGGACTTGGTGGCCACCTTTTTAATAATGTCCACCGCCGCTCTTGCCCTCTCCTGTACAGACACGGGAGCCCGGGAGGCATCTCCCTCCGTCGGCTCCCGAATCCTAAGCAGGAGATCTGCGATCTCCTCCTCCGCTACGGCTTCTCCTTCCGCTCGGACCCGCCTGTATGACTCCGCCCCAGAGAAGGCGGAGCCCGACGGGACGGGGACAGGGGCACGCGACCTCGCGATCGGCGTCCGTGACCGTCCTCGCTGGCTGCCGGCCACCTTAGGTGGCAGCATGTCCTGCGAGGGGTCAACACCCTCCTCTCCAGAGCGTCCACGCTTGCGGCTCCCAGTGTCACGGAGTTCAGCCTCAATAGCGTCCAGTGCGTCAATCGTCACACTGGAGCCACCGTCTGCTGAAGCAACCGACCTGGAGCGAAGACGCTCCAGTCTGACTACTGGGAGCCCCACCGAGATAGGTGTACTCGACACCACCTCGCCTTCAGTGGACGCCAAATCCACTCCACCACTCCTCCTCTTTGTCTCCTCTTCCCTTCCGACTGTCTCATTGTCCATTTGGCTTGCCGTTTTCGTTGTTTTTCCCAATCCTTTTCCTTTTATTTTTATTGCACTTTCCATGTTATACCCACGAGTGGGGGAGAACTAAAGGTCCACCCGGGCAGAGATCCCCCAATACCCGGGTAAGCGTAAATTTATGCCCAACCGAGGGGTCCGCAAGTGCCCCGGCTGGGAGTGCGCTTACGACTGAACTACCCATCAGCCATGCATCCCCTGGCCACGCACCAGAACACGGGATTCGGGGAATTTTTTAGAGAGGTTTTCTTCCTCGCGGTCCGGGCGGTTAAGCCAAGACCCTCGTCCCCGATCAGAGCCGCGAGACTTGACCACAGCGCTCTTCTCGGGATTACGATATGCCGACGGTGACAAGGAGACTACGTCCCCCTGCCTGCTCGGTGGTAGTGTCAGTACACGCCGAGCCCGTCCTCCTTTCTCCACCGCTACCAGCGGAGAAATTGGCCCCTACAGGGCCCCACCTTCTGGTTTTTTACCGAGGTTTCCTCCTCCATGCTCCGAAGAGCGAAGAGCCAGCAGGGCAACCGGCAGACACGCCCACCCTGCTGGACCAGGCCTTGCCCGAGAGCCGATGAACGGCTGCCTCTTCTGCTAGAATATTGGCCGCTGGCGATAATCCTCTCCTCCAAGAGGACAAGGAGGAAACAGTACCATCGCCAGCGTTTCCAGGGTGCACCACGAGGAGGTTTTCTAGCCCAGCACCCCACCGGCGTCTAAACCTAACCTAACCTAACCACTAGGCTACCGCCGCTTATGTGGTTTAAAAGGTTACAAGTCAATACATTTTACCGTAATTTTTGTGTTAATGTGTCTGTGATGCAAAGTGGTACGAGATACGTACATTCTCCCTTAACACTGTTTTCTCTTAACATGAGTGCATTTGATATATCCTAAAAACAACTGATTAACATTCCTATTATATCGTTCATTTTAGAGGCTACGCGTTAAAGAAGTCGGGACTTAGACTAAAAATTAAATTAAATGTTTTCGTATTATATGCTGTAAGCACTTACAACAGTAAGAGTTAGGTAACGGTTACATTACTTTGTCATTTTTATCATAAGCAGTAAGTTTGTTTTTTTTATCTACAGTACCGCTAACAAAGTTTAGTGTATAGTTTATTTGCCCAAAGATTGATATTGTGCAATAATAAATATTCTACCACATTCACACAACCCTAGTACCAAACTAAGCAGAACTTATACTATGGGTACTAGACAACTGATATAAAACATATGTACATTTGTAATAACAAACATGCATAATACATAGAAACACCCAGACCAAATCAAACCATTCGGCAGTTAGATATGGTTTATGTTTAACAGTTTATTTGTAAAAATGATATTTGTGAGAGAGCTCTTTATAAAAATAACGACTACAAAAAACACCTTAGATTATTTAGACAAAATTTAAAAGTTTTTATTTATTTTGAAACTCCTTTTTTAATGCAATTTTTAATGCAACTAATCACTAATTATGAATATATCCATTTTCAAACGGTATAAAGTAAGATACTAAATTAAGCTAAGAAAATAGGACAAAGAAGTTAAAATAATCCCTTATTTTAACGTATTTATACCTTAAGACTCTGATTTAGAAACAAGACTAAGAATGCAGAAGCAGAATGTAGCCATTTGTAATTACATCTCTAACCCTAAGGTTAAAGGTGGAATATAGTAAAATCAACAATATCCAAATTCTTTTCAACATGATGCATATTAAAGTAAATAATATATACCTATAACACATAACGAGACATCCTTCGTGTAATCCCCGGAGCGGCACTGATACACGCCAGTATCATCGACCTCAGCTTTTGTTATTGTCAACACAAGAGCTGGAGTTCGTCCTCTGAACGCAGATACAAAATGTTCCTGGGCGAAAATTCTGTTTCCTGGAATACGCTTAACCGCGCTCCCATTCGGATAAATCCATTCAACCTAAAATTAAGTACACTTATAAACTTTCAAGTATTTGTAAAGCAAAATCAATTCAGAAAACAAATTCATTCATTCGTCAGTTGTTGTTGAAAGCTTTAGAACTTTTATAAGATACATTACAAAATTCGTGCAATCTAAAATAAAACCAAATAATATATATAAATATAAAGGTTTCTTTATAAGGATCACAATGTTGTCCTTCTCTGCCTACCAGTAAAGCCTTTTCTCTCAGGAAAGCGTTTAGATGGACAGCTACACAGTTTTTAAATAAAAGGATAAAAACTATATGTTTTAGTGAAATTTTTGAAGGAAGTTGAAAATATAGTACCACATACCTTTTGATTTCTGTTCGACGCTTTGCAGTTAATGGTCTTGTGTTCCCCGACTTTCACAAAACCTTCGTCACCGTAAACCACAGGATCCACTGTAACCCCGTGTTCAAGTTTGCTGCCATAAACTAAAAGAGAAATCATAATTTTTATTACGAGTCCGTGTGGTGGTGGATTAGGAATACAGAGTGTCACCACCCCTATTCATGAGTGTCGTAGGAGCGAACTACGAAGGACAACTGCACTACAAAAAAAAACTTGAAATAAACCCTGTATAAACAAAGCTGTTGAGCGTGGTATAGTAGGCTAAAACCTAGTCTTGATGATGATATTGCGAGCAATTAGACATACCCATGTTTTGTGAACTGCATGAATACCATGCAATGTAACATTTTAAAACACTGCGACAAATTTAATATCCGACTATCCGGCCGAACATTCTTCAATTGTGTTTTAATTTTGGAAGGTTAATGCCTGATTTCTATCCATCTATTTCCAATAGCTAATAGCTAACCTAACAATGAACTTAACTTAATTAAAACAAAAGTAAAATTCTTCAGTCAACGCTAATTACACCAAAATCTAAACATAAGTTAAAATTGCCATATTATAACAAAAGAAGTCCAGATCAAAGTCCACTCAGCAATAGTTATTCATGAATAGAAAACGAAACAGTCCAAAAATATAAGCCAAGTTTTGAACTAGGTACTACTGGGTTGTGCTTTAATTCTTATCACTCTTCATCATACACACGTCATTCATCTAAGTTTTTTTCTATGAATTCTGATACTATTCTAGACTTTTATATCTTGTTAGATAGCTGAGAATACTTTATATTTTTTAATAAATCTACAGTTTAACTGTCAAAGTTTTTTTAAATATCATTAAAATAAATACAAATTGATTTCCCTAATTATTTATACAATTTCGCCATTTTGATGGCAGTTTGTTACCCATTAACTGAAGAAGTTTGCTCAACGGGAGACGCAGCGAATGCGTTTTGTACTGCTTCTCGGGTGTTGAACAATTTTTTCCCCCTTAAAAATTGACTAAATATTGAAAAAAGTAGTAGTCAGTTGGGTGTCAAGGTTCCGTGAATACAGTGAGTGATGTAGAGCTTTCAGCTGTAACTCGTGTACCTTTTCGATAGTCTGTCATGAAGTGTGATCTCGAGCGTTGTCATAGCTAGCAATGGGGAAGAGAGATTGACCAGTCGCTTGGTTGGTTGTGGAAATACCAGCTTCACCATCATTGTTTGCAATTCTTGGCAAAAGACATCTGCCGTCACTGTTGTGATATTCGGTAAGAAGCTGTAATGTACCAGTCTGGCACTGATCCACCAGACAGTCACCATCATCTTACTATGGGTAACCTTTTATTGACGCACTGATTAGGTGCTACACTCGGAATAACCCACTAAGACGACCGCTTATAGTTGTCGTACAGTCGCCATTTTTCATCGCAGGTAACAATTCTATTTATAATTCCCTCGTTTCAATGCTGATTTAGTAGTGCTACGCATGCTTGAATGCGTCTCGCTATTTCGTGAGGCACCCACTTATCTAGGTTTTTATCTTTCCAATTCGACGAAAGTGCTTCAATGTTGTTTTAACACTAACTACAAAGCCCGCAGCAAGCTCCACCGTAGATTGAGTTGGATCCGCTTCCATTTTCGTCGTCAATTCGCCGTTGTCGACTTTAGTTACCAGCCATTATCGAGCACGTTCTTCTATGCAAAATTTTCAGATCTAAAATTATTGAACCAAAAATGGAGTGAGTTTATGCATGCAAACAGTGACAGGCTTGTACATATCGCAAATCTTTCCTGTTGTTTGCGCAGCGGTATTTCCACGTAGTACTCGAAAATTGTACGAATTTTCATTTTATCCATGGCGCCAGAAATTAACACAAGTTCACAAAAATAAAACACTATCAAACAAATGACTGCATTTTAAATTAAAATAACATGGCTTTCGAATAAAAATTATTTGAATCCAATCAATCCACAGATAATTAAAGCTGTTTTTTTTAAATCTCCAACTTAATAGGTAAAGACCTATTGTTATACTCATTTGAACGAGATCGAAAAATTAATACCAGTAAAATCAATTACGTTTTTATGAATATCATTAACATTATGTTACTATGAATGTTTTGTCCTTCAGATACAAGTAAAACATGTTCAGTCACGTGCATTGATATGTAATCATTAACTTATTTGCAAAAATATGTTAATATTTAATATTTTAAAAATAAGTATCTCATGTTGTATTCAAAATTATTTAATCTTCAGACTTGATAAAAATAAGGTATACCTTTTCTTCGTAGTAAAGTAAACAAAGTATTATTAGTAAATATTACACACTCCTAAAATTATATTTAAATTGTTATATGAGTATGTAAGAGGGGGCAGACAAGCTGACGTGTCACTTGATAGTGACTACCGCCGCTCATGAACGTCTGCAACTCAGAAGTCACAAGAGCGTTGCTGTTGCGTGACAATTTCTTTAACAAATGTACAAAGAAATTTCAGAATAATCTATACACATTATTTTTGATTATTAAATAATAAAAAGTATACCGTTTCTGAGAGATTGCTAAACTTTAAGTTTGTAATTATTTTGTTTAATCAAGATTATGTATCAAAGTGCAAAGTAAGTTTTACTTCAAAACTAATTTTTTACGGTTGGTAATTAAAAGATACTATCATTTAACTACCAACCAAATTAAACACAAAAACAATGATAAGTATCTATGTCAATTAAAAGAACTATATTATTATGGAAAATGCGATAAAAAATCAGAAAAGTACCTAAGTAAATATTTATTTATTTATAAACTGTATGTTGCAACATTTTCGGTAAAACTAGATTTGCTATCACGGTTCATAAGTTTGCGTGTGAAAGTGTGTGCAAATGTCTGAAAACTATTTGTGTAAATATTTTTGCTTAAAATGTGCACACTACTGTGATGTACTCCGATGGTTACATTGTATCTGTGATTTTATGATTATTGATTTGTTTTAGAAATTTTTTGAGTAAACGTGTATTTAAAATTCTGTCCTTGTATAAATTCATTGCTCGTGACTGTACAAATATATTTGTGATAGATAATACATTTATAAATTTTAATTAAAAGTAAAATATCGACCAAGATCAAAATAAGTCATTCGTTTTTTTTTTTAAAGAAACCGATCTCATAATATATAATAATTAATAACATTTCTCACACGATTTGTTTAGTTAAAGTTTAGCAATGGTATCTGGAATAATATCAAAGGTGAAATTTATGACATCACTTATTTTTTTATTGTAATTTCACCGTTGTTTGAGTACTCGGATATTTTACTTAACCTTGTAGAAATAATTTTGTTTGTGTATGTATTCATGTATTTATAAATTTATTGTATATGTCATTCTTAAATTTCAACTCTTGATTAATGGCTAAGTTAAAGTTTCACATACAATTTCGTCAATGTCATGTACCCAAAGAATATTATTTTATTTAAGTCCAGAATTTGGCATTCTGGCTAAATTAACCAAAATGATTAAAATAAAATTAAAAAAAAAAAAATTAAGACCAAATCTCAATCAATAAACAAAATCTTCAGAAAAATATTTAGATACTTAGCCAGACACATAATTGGCCGGTTCTTCTATTTTTAAATATAACAATACGTACCTGCTCTGTAGAACATGTAAACAAAAACAATCACGTAAAATAACCACTTCATTTTGAGTCTTCAATAATAAAACAAAAAAAACTAATAAAAAAAAGTAAACTAATATCACATTTATTTTTTAATTATATCTCATGACCCTTTTGCCTTTTTTTAACTCGTGATGGCAGGGGCGAGCACAAAATGAAAGTGCGCCTGAGTACTACAGGCGTGCAAATTGTTTAATAGGAAGAATCAATTAATCCTAATGAGGATTATTGCGTACAATGTCATGAGTGAGGAAATGATACTTAGTGTAGTTACCATCAACATACTAAAATTAAAAAGGTCGCACATTAGGTCTTGTATAACAGAACGGTTCGGTGGAACTAAATCAACACTTCACTATTAAACATTAACCCTGAAGATTAAACGTGCTTGTTGCTACTACTGAAATTCAGTCAAATTATTCTAGGAAGAGCAACTGACTATTAACTAACTACTTTATGTTAAAATATTTAATAGTGACCAGTTCTATTTCGTTAAAACAATTGCCATTATCAAAATATGTTATGAATGTACACTACATAGCAAGGCCTTTGAATATTTAAATTACTTAGAGTATGTTTGTAACTTCTGAGTTTTTCATCTAAATCTTGAGATTCAAAGAGGTGAGTTGACAAACAATTCTAAAATACTATGAAGATAAATGTTATCGTGGTAAAAAAAACACTTTTAATAATTTTATTAAAAATAGGGGTCAACTATAATATATAACAAAACAGTCCGCTATTTAATAAAACCGACGTAATAGCGGTAACCATTGGTTCGTAGAACAATAGCCGGCAATGGTAGGGGTTCTAAAAATTTAGGTCATCACTTGAATGATTAACGTACGTAAAACAGCATGGTAACTATTATTATTAATAGAATTCACAGTTGCCTATTGCTAGCTGATTTTGCTAAGAACATTATAATTGTTTATTTCTCACTAACAAATTATTAATAGAAGAACATTTACATAGCTTTAGCTTTGCCATTTTATGTCATTAATTGATATAATATCTGTAAGAAAATTGCTAGAAACCCGATTAATGTTACATTTTTAATAAACTCAAAACAGATGGATTCAGATTGATAGTTATTTACTTAGGGACTGATTTGATTTGTTATGTCATAGCTAGTATATTATTCAAATTTACAAGTAGGTACTATATTAGCTAGACTGTACAAGTTCAATTTAGATTTTGGTTTTCTAAAATGTATAATATTTACAATTAACTCCAGTTTTGTAAACTTAGGGGCGTTAAGACTTAGTTAGACCTAAAATATAAGTAAGATAGTTTAGGCTATTTTTCCTTTAACAATAATTACACCAATTTAATAGCTATAAACTTATTTCAAAGGTAATACATTAGTTTTCCCTCCCATATTTCGGCAACAAAATTTGCTATTTTTTTATTTTTGAAGCATTAGTTTGAAATGCTATACGCATGAATAAACACAATATTGTACTCCTGACCCAATAGATTTGAATAGCCAATTGTGCAGGGCATAGTATAGTGCACAAGTATGTCTCCAACACAAATGCAATCTCGTTTTCTGATGAGACTACAATCTGACCCGACCGGATAGAGATTCAGCGCAGGACGATAATACCATCAATTTCCTGATATCGACTGTATGTATAACTACCTGGGAAATTCTTAGTAAAAACCCAATAATAATTTTTACCTGAATCGGATTCTACCGCAATATCAACGAAGCGATGTGTTTTTATTGCTTGGTAAGTACGCTAAGAGAAGGAAAACTTGACACAAAACCCAACCAACCTGTCTGGCCAGCGTGGTGTAGTAGACAAAAACCTAGTTTCAAAGGAGAGGCCTATGTCCAGCAGTGAACTATTAAAGGCTGTTGATGTGATGTGATGATGAGGATATGAATAAATAGTGTACTATGATAATAAATAACAATAAATTATATTATTAGTAGTAGTAATTTACATAAAACTTAAATTTATAATAATGAGATTTGGTTGCAATAAATATTATTTGAAACTATTCAAACACTCACAATACATGCAAATGTACTGTATTAACATACTGTATTAACGGCAGAACTTTAACATCAAATAAGGAAGTAAATATTATGTATTTTGTACACATGTGCAGAAACATTCCCCTCTACGTCACCAAAAACTGTGACTATGATATTAGTTCCACTTGCGTAAAAGGCGGCCTATTATAAATAGCCTTCCCAATAGGAATTTATAGCTCGTACTATAAAGTACGTGCTATAAACCTTACCTCAGGTAGCACTCACCTTAATAAGTCACATTATACTTGTGTATTTAAATGCTCTTGTGGAATGAAAATAAAAATGTTCACTTAGTAATAGGTAGGAAGTAATCACCCATGCAATCGACGCATCTTTGCCAACGCATTGGCAGTTTATTGATGCCCTTCTTGTAAAAAACAGCTGGACGGGAGGCAACAAACTCTTCAAAGGCATTTTGTACTGCCTCTCGGGAATTGAATTTTTTACCCACTAAAAAGTTGTCTAAATTTTGGAAAAAGTAATAGTCGGTTTTACAAGAAGGGCATCAATAAACTGCCAATGCGTTGGCAAAGATGCGTCGATTGCATGGGTGATTACTTCGAATAACAGAAATAAAAAAGTTTGAAAAAATAAGTACTTTCACTTATTGCATACAAAACGGCAATTTCATAGGTAAACACCTAATATTTATTTTATTCAAGCCAAATCTAGATTTATAACCGAAAAGGTTATATATCTAAAGATTTAAAGTCATTTTTTATTAAGTACATTGCGATTATTATTATCTTGAAATTTTGAAATTATTTGGTTAATTTTATAATTCGGTGAGTTTAGAGCCTCTGTGGCGAAATAACCCAACTCAAAGCCTGTTTTTGATTCGTTTTAGAAAAAATGTTTTTCACTACAATTATTTAATCTGCTTTCACATACAATCACATTTGGTAGTTACTTTATTAATTTGACTAGTTTGTGGATTGAAACACTTCTGTAATTCTTAAATCTGGTGCATCTCTCGTAACCAATGAGGCTCTTAATTCTGCTATTTTATGTTCACGCCAAGCCACTGTCATAAAATTCACCCTGAAGCCATCGTGGTGTCATTGAAAAAACTATCAATTCTGTCAAATATTTGTAGACTACCGTTTACCAAACTATTCCACAGACATCGATAACATTTTGTATCAGTGACGAGTCGTCGGGAGGCCATTGGTATTTTATTTAGTTAGCAGATTACAAAAAGTGCCAAACCATTCCGACGACACTCTATTGATACAATATTAAAATAGCGGAATTGGGGCTCAGTCCTCTAAAGATAGTTCTTAGCTAAGCGAAAGTTCGTAAAGTTTAAATTTTGCATCTATTTCAGTAACTGCACAGAGTACAGAGTTCAAAGTAGGAGCAACAGCATGACATCAATGTTTATTATTATGATTGTTAAGTAAGTGTCACCGAATATTTTAAACTAACATTTATAATGTGTATCATTATAAACATTGTTATTGACTTCTGTGAGCATTCAGCTGATAAAATTTTACATCTGAATGTAGTTTAAAGTACAATTTCAATTGTTATCTATGTTAATGGTATCCGTTTATTTAAAACTAATGTTAATTTTACTGATGACGGTATTATTATTTTTTAGCTGTATGACGGTGACTGGTTTCGTTTCTTATTCCAGATGAGGTAATTCTATCGTTAAGTTTTATTATCAACATACTTTTCTCCATTGCCTGCTGGCACTTGGCTAGTTTTACTCTGTGATTCAGCGTGACATACTTACTCGAATCGACCATTTGAAATGATGTTGTACACGCCACATGTTACGTTGTAAGACAGGCAAAGTGAGTGATCAGGTAACACTCTGGTATACAAGAAATGTAGGCATAAAACGGGAACCGCCTTATTACGCCGATTACCGCCTACCCTTGGGGCTTTACTGGACTAGAGTTGCATTAGGTCTTGTATAACAGAACGGTTCGGTGGAACTAAATCAACACGTCACTATTAAACATTAACCCTGAAGATTAAACGTGCTTGTTGCTACTACTGAAATTCAGTCAAATTATTCTAGGAAGAGCAACTGACTATTAACTAACTACTTTATGTTAAAATATTTAATAGTGACCAGCTCTATTTCGTTAAAACAATTGCCATTATCAAAATATGTTATGAATGTACACTACATAGCAAGGCCTTTGAATACTTAAATTACTTAGAGTATGTTTGTAACTTCTGAGTTTTTCATCTAAATCTTGAGATTCAAAGAGGTGAGTTGACAAACAATTCTAAAATACTATGAAGATAAAAGTTATCGTGGTAAAAAAAAACTTTTAATAATTTTATTAAAAATAGGGGTCAACTATAATATATAACAAAACAGTCCGCTATTTAATAAAACCGACGTAATAGCGGTAACCATTGGTTCGTCGAACAATAGCCGGCAATGGTAGGGGTTCTAAAAATTTAGGTCATCACTTGAATGATTAACGTACGTAAAACAGCATGGTAACTATTATTATTAATGGAATTCACAGTTGCCTATTGCTAGCTGATGTTGCTAAGAACATTATAATTGTTTATTTCTCACTAACAAATTATTAATAGAAGAACATTTACATAGCTTTAGCTTTGCCATTTTATGTCATTAACTGGCTGATCCGCGCAACTTCGTCTGCGTCTCTCAATAGTAGTAAATTTTCTCCGTTTTTTGAAACATTCGTCATTGGTGCTCCGCTCCTATTGGTCTTAGCGTGATGATATATAGCCTATAGCCTTCCTCGATAAATGGGCTATCTAACATTGAAAGAATTTTTCAAATCGGACCAGTAGTTCCTGAGATTAGCGCGTTCAAACAAACAAACAAACAAACAAACTCTTCAGCTTTATAATATTAGTATAGATTGATATAATATCTGTAAGAAAATTGCTAGAAACCCGATTAATGTTACATTTTTAATAAACTCATAACAGATGGATTCAGATTGATAGTTATTTACTTAGGGACTGATTTGATTTGT